CTGCCACAGGCAGGGACAAATTCCCACCTTCCACTAGAGCAGGTTGCTCCAAGCCCCTGTGTCCAACCTGGCCTTGAACACTGCCAGGGATGGGGCAGCCACAGCTTCTCTGGGCACCCTGTGCCAGCGCCTCAGCACCCTCACAGGGAAGAACTTCCTTATCTCCAACCTGAACTCACCCTGTTCCAGTTTAAACCCACCAACCCTTGTCCTATCACTCCAGTCCCTGATGAAGGTCCCTCTCCAGCATCTCTGTAGCCTCCTTCAGACACTGGAAGCTGCTCTGAGGTCTCCAGCAGCTTCTCTTCTCCAGGCTGAACAGCTCCAGTGTTCTCAGCCTGTCTCCATACAGGAGTTACTCCAGCCCTTGACCATCCTCATGGCCTCCTCTGGACTTGCTCCAACAACTCCATGTCCTTCTTATGCTGAGGACAGCAGAACTGTACACAGTGCTGCAAGTGGGGTCTCACAGCCCTCAAAGAGGGTCCCTCACAGCACAGTTCTTCAGTCCCTGGCTTTTTTAGTGACTGGGCTTGCCAGTGAGGCTGGGGAATGTCTTGGGTATTTCCTTTGTTATCCTGATGAAGTCCATCTTTTTCCCCTCAGGTACGTGGTACTAACCACAAAGCATCACGAAGGCTTCACCAACTGGGGGTCATCCGTGTCCTGGAACTGGAATTCTCTGGATACGGGGCCTCACCGGGATCTGGTAGGAGAGCTGGGACAAGCCCTCAGGGAGAGGTATGGCACTGCCAAGCTCCGCTGTTCCCTTCGTTTGAATTCTCCTGGCTGCTCTTGACAAACAGCAGAAGATCATTAGCTTAACATGAGGAAAACTGTCCTGAAGTCTTCTGTGAAATAATGATGTAAATAACCTGCTCTGCCTCTGGTTCTCAATCCCTCCTGCCAGCCTGACCCTTTCCTCTGTGTTTTCTGTCCTTCAGCAACATCCGCTATGGGCTGTATCACTCCCTGTTAGAGTGGTTTAATCCACTCTATTTAGCTGACAAAGAAAGTGGCTTCAAGACCCAGAACTTCGTTTTAAAGAAGACGATGCCAGAACTTTATGATCTCGTCCTAAAGTAAGAGCTGCAACTGGTTAGAAGGCAAGAGCGTTTCCTGGTTTCAGTAGTGTAGAGAAAGGTGCAGAGAAGAGAGGGGACAAATGTTAATTCTTTGTGTGAAGCACAAAGCTGGTAATGTCAGGCAGCAGGAAGAGGAAGTGAAGCTACGCTCCATCGCCAGAAACACAGTGTTCCTTTGAGGGAGGAGGAAATGAGCCATTGTGAAATAACACTCATCTCTCTTAGATACAAACCTGATTTGATCTGGTCGGATGGAGACTGGGATGCTCCAGAGTCATACTGGAATTCTACCTCTTTCCTTGCCTGGCTCTATAACGATAGTCCTGTCAAGGTATCACTTTCAGCTGTCCCTCATGGCCAGTATTTCCTGGGTATGGGAGGTCTGGGAGCAGCGAGGTATGAATGGGATCAAATCAGAAACCCACTGCAGATACCAAATGTGCCTTATTCTTTCACATACACAAAAGCCTAAACTGTGCTCCTTGGGAAGACTCCAGTGCCCTTTACAGCACACACATGGGAGGCTCAGAGCCCAACAACCTTCTTGCCTCAACTTCTGCAAATACTGTGAGTGAATAGAGAGATGTTCTCCCAAACTGGAATTCAGCATTCTCTGGAGGATCCTCCTTCTCCTTCTGTTGATGACACAGTGGGGTTTAGGTTCTTACCTCCTAACTGAGATGCCTTTGCTAACTTAGGAGGGATAATGCAAGCTGAAAAGGGAAAACATTCTCCCTACTGAGCTGAGTTTCTTCTTTCAGGACACTGTTGTTGTTAATGATCGTTGGTGCAGTAACTGCTCGTGCCACCACGGAGGCTACTACAATTGTGTTGACAAGTACAAGCCAGGGACTCTGCCAGCTCACAAGTGGGAGATGTGCTCCTCCATTGACAAGCTTTCCTGGGGCTATCGGAGCAACATGAACATTACAGAGTTAATGGATGAAGCAAGTATCATTGAGGTAGGAAATCTGGAATCACAGTAACAGGTATGGGGGGGGGTTACTGAGAATTAGAGGTGTCCTTCATCCTCCTGCTTGCCAAAAGACTTGTTGTGTTCCACACAATCAGGCTGGAGCTAAAGGAGCAGCTGATGAGGACAAAGCCCTCCTCAGATTTCTTTCTTCTCAGAGGTGATTATAATGTGATTTGTTACCTTGGTTTATCTGTCACAGGAGCTAGTGCAGACTGTGAGTTTTGGAGGCAACTACCTGCTCAATGTGGGACCTACAAAAGAAGGGGTGATTGTTCCCATCTTCCAAGAAAGACTTTTGGCCCTTGGGAGGTGGCTGGACACTAATGGGGAGGCGATTTATGAAACAAAGCCATGGAGGGTACAGATGGAGAACAGCACAGACATGGTGTGGTAAGGACCCTGCTGCACAGTGTCATCTGTGCTGCCATGTCTTTCTTAGCTCTTCTTACATTCAGTATGCTCTGAAATGTTGTCATCAGATGGCACTGAGGGAATATCCTACAACTGGAGCGCTCAGGTACTGCCCCAGGGTGTTCTCTAAGGAACATCTTGCTTGAAAGAAGAGAATAAAAACTAGGACTTCACCCATCTTGCCTAACTTGGGAAAAAACCCAACTCTTCCTTTAAAACCCTGCCCCTGCTGTGTCAGTACTGCGTGAGCAGTGGTCCTGGCTAGCTTGAATTGCACAAATGTAGCTCATCTGGACACATACAGTTTGTAAAGGTAGAGATGTTTGCTTTTCAGCTGCTACATGATGGTACTGATTGCTGTTACCCAACTGAGAAGGGCAACAGTGAGCCAGAAATTGCTACAAACCAGGGTTATTTTGTTTCCTGCAGTGTAGGAATGCAGAGCAGTGAGCAGCCTGTCCCCTCTGTTGACCACAGCTGAGGCAAGGACAGATTGGCAAATGACGCTGGACTTTGTTTGGGTTTCATCAGCCGGCGCTGAGTGGCCAAATGGTGGGTCCAAAGTGACAGGTTTTGGGATGAGGGGAAAGTAGGTGACCCCTGAGCGGTGGCAGTCAGCAGCTGATGTTCTTGTGCCATCTGGGAAGGGGAAGCTCATATCTGGTTCTCTCTCTTGGCCTTGCTGAACTCTTGCTCTCATAGGTACACTTCTAAGGGACCAGTTGTCTATGCCATCTTTCTGCTCTGGCCTCAGGACAACGTTCTGAAGCTGTCCTCACCTGCTCCATCCCCAGACACACAAGTAAGGAGCTTGGAAATAAGATAATGCCCTCTGAGAGCCTGTCCTGGGCATGTGCGGGCTGGGAAGGGTCCAACCTGGTTTCATTTGGAAACTGGGGAGAGTGTAGGTGTCATCCTGTGCTTCTTGTTCTGGGGTGCTCTGGCCTGCCTCCAGAGCCTCACAGCATCCCAGGTTATTGTCCGGCCTTTGGCTCACTGTTAACAAAGGGCATTGGGTAGGATTTACCAGGACAGGCTTATTGTCTGCCACAGAGCAAGCAGAGACACTTCTCCCCCAGAGCTTTTTGATCCTATTGGCACAGAGAGGTAAATAACAAGCCTCACACACACAAGGGATCACTGGTCTTGCATTCAAATTCAAATCAGGTACACTGACCCCTCACTGTAATTGGAAGTGACGCAAATGCTGGGGTGCCCTTTGCTCTAAATAAACAGGGCTGAAGCCTGCACAGTAAAAACAACTGAGCGTTTCCCCTGCCCTCCTCTGCAGGTGACCATGTTGGGGTTTGCGGGGACACTGAAGTGGCAGAAGTCCCCTGGTGAAGGACTACTCGTAACACTGCCCTGCATGCCTCCATCCCCCCAGTCTGGCTGGGCCCTCAAGCTTGAGAGTGTGAAGTGATGGCTGCAAGGACAGAAGCAGTGATCTGCCCCTGCCTTCCCTTCAAACTGAATCCAGGAGGATTTTTCAGTTATTGTTGAATAAATGTTTTTTCTCATAAGAGAATCTCTCTTCCAGTCCCTTTTGCCTGTGATCTGGGTGTCAAGGGGCCGTGTTTGAAGGGATCTAGAAGAAATCAGCTATAGAAAATCATGGCCTAATACAAATCCATTATTTATATTCTGGTGGAGACAGCTGTAAGTAGAAGAGGTTTGTTCTGATGTGCTCAATTCATAGAATCATGGAGGTTGGAAAAGACCTTTGAGATCATCAAGTACAGCCGTTCCCCAGCAGTGCCAATGC